GAGGCTGAAGAGGTCCAGGTGCCCTAGTCTCTCCTTGCAGGGCTTGGCCTGCAAGCCCTTTACCATACGAGTGGCCCTTCTCTGGACCCTCTCCAGGTTTTCCGCATCCCTCTTGAAGTGTGGCGCCCAAAATTGCACGCATTATTCCAACTGCGGTCTGACCAGCGCCCAATAGAGGGGAAGTATCACCTCCTTGGATCTGTTCGTCATGCATCTGCTGATGCACGATAAAGTGCCTTTAGCTTTTCTGATGATTTCGTCACACTGCCAACTCATGTTCATCTTGGAGTCCACTAGGACTCCAAGATCCCTTTCTGCTTCCGTGCCACCAAGCAGGTCATTTCCTAGGCAGTAGGTATGCTGGACATTTTTCCTCCCTAGGTGCAGCACTTTGCATTCTCCTTGTTGTTTTCTGCCCATATGTCCAACCTGTCCAGGTCTGCTTGTAGTTGTTCCCTGCCCTCCGGCGTGTCCACTTCTCCCCACAGTTTTGTGTCATCTGCAAACTTGGACAGAGTACACTTCACTCCCTCATCCAAGTCGCTGATGAAGACATTGAAGAGTATCGGTCCAAGGACCGAGCCCTGCGGGACCCCACTGCCCACATGCATAAGAACATCTATGCATTAGACTTGAATAGTGGCCCCAATACCTTTCCGTGTCAGCACTGGCTGCCTGAAATCAGTAATGTGTACCATCCTCTCCCCCAGCTCAGACTCTGTACCTTGGAGGTTGCACATGGTTTCCCTCCTGCTCCTTCCAAGAGGCACTGTCCCCCTCCACAACACTGATGCCATTCCCTTGCCTCTGCCTGTGCTGACATCTCTCATTCTATTCCCATGCCCTGAGCAGAGCCCCAGTTGGGGGTGCCTGTACAGATTAGCTGATAAACATTTTTCTGTTATTCCCTTGTGCCCTAAATCAGCACATAGTTGGAAAGGCTATAACCCCGCCCCCTCCCCCCCACCTTTTCTGGCACTACCTTTGTGTGGGCCGCACTGCTGAGCCTGCAGTTCTTGCACCTAGGACACAGGCTTTCTCAGCCAGGGCCAGAATGGCTGTCTTTTGCCCATCACAGCACTCTGCATTCAGGCACTTGTGAGAATATTTTAGTGGAGTGCCCCAGCCAGGCACACTAGGAGCATACCCATACAGCCACAAATGCATGCATATTTCTCATTAGGGATAAACGAGAACTTGTACGTGCACACGTATACGCACCCAAATCCACTAAAATGCAAATACACACATGGACTCAACCATGTGCACAAACCCAGGCTTGGACACACACATGCACAAGCCCAGATGTGCACAAACACAACTCGTCATGCACAACTGTACATACAAGCTCATCCACACAAATACTCATGAACATATGCACAAATCCAGCTATGTACAAAGACACAAAAATGCACAGACCCATCCACAAACATAAACTCATGCTCCATCCATGCTCACAAACCCAACCTGGTACAACCTGGATACCTGACAACCTGGTACAACTGTAGACATGTGCTCATTCCCACACATATGCAGAAACTCAATGAACACACACACACATGCACACACACATTGCCACAAGCATAGTTCCTTCAGGGTGCAAGGAGATCTGTCCCCTCTAGCCATTCAGATGAGAGCCCATCCCCGCGCTCCCAGGTGCTTGATAAGAATGTCTGAGAGTTGAGAGCTGCCTGGACTTGCTTGCCTGTGGGCACAGGGGTGCATTTCCACCCCTGGTGATCTTCACAGCAGCAGCTTTGTTTGCTGCTGGGTTTGAGAAGCCCCTTGATGCTGTGGAGTGACAGGTTGGCAGCTCCCCTTCACTCCCTAGCCCCAGGATCAGACTCCAGGCAATCATTATAGAGCAATCCTCAGCCCTTCCCTGTGGGGTTCCCCACATGCTGGCAAAGGCCAGTCTCTCAGGAGTGCTGCATGCTTGGCCAGGTTCACAGGCTGCTGCCAGCTGTGGCAGGGCAAAGGGATAAGGAGGCAGGGCAAGGGCAAGAAAGCACATCTTGGCTGGGTGCCATTAGGAAGCAGGGACAGAGTTGAGGGGGAGAGACTCTTACTGAGCACATGTGTGCATGCAGGGGCTGTGCATGCAGGGGCTGTGCAGTGTAAGGGGCAGCAGCACAGCCTCTCTGTGTCCTTCCCAGCCCACCTGGCTACTGCAGACCCCAGAGACTCTTTCTCAGTGTTTCATAGAGCGGAGAATACAGACCTCATTTCGAAAGGGGTAGAGTCTGGATTGGACTGGGAGCTGGATGCACTTGTATAAATCAGGCCTCAGATTTACAGGCCTGTAAGCCTGTCCTGGTCCAGGCTGGTTCAAAGACCACCTCACCTCATTGGCTTAGAAACTTTGAAAAATAGGGTTGGAAGGGACCTTAGGAGGTCATCTAGTCCAAACCTCTGCTCAAGGCAGGACCATCCCCAACTAAATCATCCCAGCCAAGGCTTTGTGTAGCTGGGTCTTAAAAACCTCCAAGGATGGAGATTCTACAACCC